GCTGTGGACGCTGCTCTCCCAGGGTAAGCCTGAGGACCCCGCCTGTGTTCAGAGCCTGCCCCGCAGCTGCGGAACAAATCCTTTGATCCGGGCCTTCTCCTGCCCTGTCTCTCCAGGTGACTCAGACAGCGAGAAAAACACACAGAAAGCAAAGTTTTCACTGGTCTTCTGGGATGTGGCCTCGAATTTCCCTTTCTCCTGCGAATGCCCTGCCTCACCCTGGCCCGCTGGCAGCACTCTCCCAGCTCAGCAGGCGGGGGACACTGCACCTGCTCAGAGGCTGCCCCTGACCTGCCGCGGAGGCAGCCCCTCCCGCTGCTGTCTCTGCCCATTGTGTGCCTTGGCATTCGCTAATATGTTATCTGTGGATGCACCTGCTCTCCTGTTTATCCTGCACCCCCGCCCAGCATGTGTGTCCCCTGGACTTTGTCTGATCTGTGTCTGCTCCCTCCAGACTCCGTGTCCCTGGGGAGTGCTCCGTAAATATTTTGGGATAAATGAATGACCTGGAGGCCGGACAGTCAAGGGCTGCTGCCGGGACATCAGATTCTGAGACCCAAGGCTGCTTGGCTCCAGTGCCCAGTGCGGGCAGCTCCGAAACATCCCATCCCTGCTGCTGGACACCAGACCTTCCTCTGGCTCACAGCTTTCTCGGAAAGTTTCTGGGCTGCAGCAGGCTGCCATGGCCCTGCCACCTCGCGGTGTGCATACCGTCTGGCTCAAGGGCGGACACTTTATCCCATGTTGGAGCACAGCACTGGACAGGCAGCAGGGTTCCGCCCAGCCCAGGAGATCCTTCGGTGAACTTGAGCCTGGTTCTTGCCAAGGGCTCAGAGGTTGCAAAGTTCAGAATCTGCAGAGATTTCAAGGTCAGGCCAAGCCAGGGCTTAGCGAAGGCGAAAGTCAGAACTGTTTTCCTTCTTCCACCCTGGAATGTTCCTGAGGATTCCTTCCATCTTCCCTCTGCAGCAAGACCACGCCTTCAGCGAGGAAAACATTGCAACTGGGTCTGTTCCCATGATGCAGATGGGGAAACTAAGGCTCCAAAAGGGGAGGTGTCTTGGCCCAGGGTCTGAAGAAAGACCAGGAGCACAGCTGATTCCATGGAGACAGGGGCGGGTGTGCTGCTGAAATCATCCGGTTACGATGTCTCTGACTTTTCCTCCCTCCCTTCCGTATTTACTGAGCATCTAGGCTGCCAGGTCTTGTGCCCACTGCCCCAAAGTCCCTTTGCTCAAGGACTGTCTCTCCATGGGTAGGTGCTGCTGCAGGTGTCAGGGAGCGAAGGGGACTGGGGCCCGGAGCCCTCAGTCAGCGGCCCTGGGTAGGGGACCAGAACCCTGTCATTCCCTGGGCAGAAGGGGAGGCCTCGGGAGGACAGACTGCTATGTGTCCAGGAGCAGAAATCGGGGCCGTGGGCACACAGCACAGTGCCCAAAGTGGGGAGGACTTTGGGGGCCACACCCTGGAGGGCCTTGCATGAGGAGCTTTGACTTTGTTCTAAGTGCTAGGGGAGGTACCTGGGGGTTTCGATCAGGGGTTGACAACAGCAAGCAGCTCACATTGGGGGCCACCCTTCCCGTGGGACTCGCTGGGCACCTCCTGGGGGGAAGACAGTTGTCATCATTTCCCTTTGGGGTGGACTCCAGAGGGCCACCCGCGTGACCGCCCGCTGACCCTCTTCTGCCAAGCTGGGCCCGGCGGGCTCTCTGGACGGCCAAGGGGTGAACTCATCACCGGCCGCCGCCCCGGGGCCGCTGTCTGAGCGCGTCTGCTGCTCCATCAAGGGACAAGGACGCTGTGTTCCGGCACCAGGCTCGCCAACATCCTTGATGAGTAACTGGGACCATCAAGGGACGGGGAAGTGACCACAATGCCTCCATTGTGCTCTCGTTCCTGAGCACAGAGCGCGGGGCGGCGCAGCCGGCTGGGCTGGCAGCCGCAGCTGTGGGCGACACAGGCAGGCTCATCAGTCACCCCGGCAGGAGGCGCGGGCGAAGGCCCAGCTGCCCCCGGGACACCACCTCCGCAGGGTGCCGCAGACCCACAAAGCAAACAGCTCTTCTTGTCTGCAAACAACAAAGGGGCCTTTCTGCTGGACGGGCGCGCAGGCCGGGTGGAGGGCAGCGGATTCATGTCTTCACCCACTGGTTTCTCCCTGTGCATTCAGAGTTCTTCCAGCACCTTCAAGAACTTTCCAGAACAGGTGGAGATGGCAGTCGGTGCTTAACAGATGTGGATTTTTTTCCAGGTCACTTGGGTTCTGCTCACTTGGGCTGACCAGGGCCGGGTGTCTGGTGGGGCCTGGATTGGCTCCAGCTGCTCCACAGCTCGCACACAGTGGGCGACTTCAGACACCTGCTGCAGAGCCTGTCCCGGCCCCTGAAGGGTCTGCACGGTTTAACTGCAAACTCGACCCTAGAGACAGTGAGCCTGAGGGGGCTGCCCAGGTGACATTCCCGCCGGCCGTGCCGCCTCTTCAGCAGTGAGAGCACACGTGAGCTGTGGCATCAGTGCCTTTCCAGGACACCGGGCAGCAGCCTGTGAAAGGTACACAAGGGATCGAGTCCTCGGAACCAAGGTGGAGACAGCAGCCAAACGGAAGGGTTTGTGCCTTAGGCTTCCTTTTCTGCCAAGTTCAAAACCAGGCTGGAGAAGCGTACCGAATTGGAATTCAGGATCTTGGGTCTCTCCGGCTGGACGGACAGGAGTGATCCGAACCAGCCGCAGCCTTCAGGTCCTGTGTGAGGGCGGGCTGAAAGGGCTGCACACTTCTCAGAAATTCACTGATTTAAGTTCAGTGTGTTTTTAAAAACTATGTTCATGTTCCATAAGAAGTGGAATAAAAATGTCAGAGTTATGAATAAAATAATAAAACAAAAACCCAGCAAACTAAACTAAAATATTATCTCCTCAACAACTCTGGGGCCAACAAGAAAAACCATGAAAGACCTGGAACGTACTATTCTTCCAGGAATTTGTCCTAGGTAGTTAACTATGGACATGCCCCAGTGCTAAGCAGAGTGTTTTCAATGCAGAGCGATTTAGAACAGTAGAAACCCAGCACCACCCAAGTGTGTACAGAGAGATTGGGCGACTATCATGGCACAGCCATGGTGGAATATTATTCAGTCATTAAAATTACGCTGTGAAGAAGAACTATTTCATAACGTGGAGAGGTTCATAATGTGTCATGAAACGGTGATGACAGATTTTTTAAATGATGTTGCCTTGCTTTTTGTATAAGGAAAGATAACTAGATAGAAATACACCAAAATATTAACAGCTTTTATCTCTGGATAATGGACTTGCAGGTTACAAAATGTTTTATTTTTTTTTTTTTTGCAAGTGCCTGGCTCTGAGCATGTATTACTATTGTAATCTACGAAATGATCATTGAACACGCTATCATTTTTGAAGCCAGCATATGCCAGACAAAGAATATATTTTCTGTGGATCGTTCATAAATGTGTGAGTGGTTGATTTGTAGGGCAAAATGTGTGGAGGGTTCTAGGACACGGGAAGCAGGGACATTTTCACGGAGAACGTGGCAACAGAATCCAAGTTTTCCAGTGGCAGGAGCAGGGTGGATTCTGACAGGTGGGGTCGGGAAGGAGCTCTGCAGGTTGGCTGCGGTGTGAGCACAGCAGAGGGGGAGTCCGTGTGGCTGTGATGTCTGAGCTCTAGTTTCTGCACTCCATTCCTCACATTTTGAGGCCTCTGGCTTACTACAGCAGTGAAGAATTGCCAAAGCAGGGTGCAAAGTGTCACAGGTGATCAAACTCTACAGTGAATCTTAAAGATTTATCGCAGTGAGAGGCTCACAACCATTGGTCTCCTTCCAAACACCCACCCACCATGGCTTCAAACACACTTAGCCCGTCGTCCTGGACACTTCCGGGAACATCTCTGGAAGTCCTGGTTCCCGAGCATCTTCCTGGGGTGTGATCACCCATGCGGGGAGTGCTGCTGCCCAGTGCCATCCTGCAGAAAGACAGGCTGCAGTGTCCGCCTCTGCCTTACTCCCCAGATCTGGCTCCATGCGACCCTGGCTCTCCCCAGGCTCAAAATGACCTTGCTAGACCTGACTTAGGTCACTGAGGCGGCCAGGACAGCACAGGGACAGTCACTTCCCTCCCCTCTCCCTCTTCCTCCTCACCTTCCAGCGAGCGCAGCAGCCCCTTCTCAGGGCTGGACCTGCAGGTCAGGCTGCTTCTCCACAGGTGCAGGGTCTGACGTTTGCTCCAAGGGCCTCAGAACGAGGTCCTGCCTGCCCGGAGGTCAGGACAGAGCGGTGCTCCTCCCTGGGCCTCGGACATTCCTCCACCACCACGCTCCTCCCGGCCTGGGGTCTCACAGGGACTTTCTCACCCTCATTTCTGTACCTCACAAGTGTAACAATGTCCTGAAAACACTGGTGGAGCGTATGCCGTGTGCCCGGCTTACATAAGGCTTTCTTGTTTTTCTGGAGTCCTTGTCCCAAAGCCTTAGTGGTACCTTCCACACCTCTTCAGGGGCTCCTATAGGTCGCTTGCATGTGCAGCAGGGGCTCAGTGACAACAGTGTCCTCTTTATACTGGTTCCTATTTGATGGCTCACAGCCACTCGGACAGTCTCTGTTCCTGCAGAAAAGTCTGGGTCCCGCTGGACACGACGGTATTTATAATTCAAGTTGCATGGAAGGCTGAGTCAGGAGGATTGCACACCCAAGGCCAGTCTGGGCCACTTAAACCAAATAAAAATGGGCAGGAATGCAACAGAGTCCTTGCCTAGCAGGTGTGGAACTGTGTTTGATACACACACACACACACTCACACACACACATATGCAGGGTGTCTCTCAGATATCTCTCTTCCTCCAGCCTAGCCCAGTTTTCCCAGAAAGTTATATTTTCCTACTCGATCAGCAGCTGCCATTTTCACCTTTGATCAAGGCTAAAAAGCACAATTGCAACGTCTGGTGGCAGCAATCAATATCGTAATAAAATTACACCTAATTTATTTAGTGCTTCGAGTGCCCTAAGGTTCATTTATCTGAGCAGAGTGTTTCAAAGTTTCAGAATGAGAAAGACGCATTTGGCCATGAAATTTTTAAGCCCAGCCTTCACTAAAGCAGCTGTTAATTGCAAGACCGCCCAGCTCTGACCCACTTAGGGAGTCGATGGGGTAGAATGTGACTCCCTCCTGGCGTTCCCAAATGTCCTAGTCACAGCACCAGACCCAGTGGCAGTAGGCCGGCCAAAACCCCGATAGCTGATCTGGACTGCACTGGGTTGGGATCTGCTTGTGTCTCCATGGCAGCCTTTAATGTTGCTTCCAAGAAAACGGAGCGCTTTTCTCCAAGCAGGAGAAGATGGAGGACAAGCGCACACAGGAACAGCCAGGCCGGGAGACAAATGGTTTCCAGGAAACACAGGCCAGGCTTGGAGTGAAGAAGGTCCAACCCATGAGCCACGCAAGGACAAGGGGCCCAAATCCATTTTCTGCAAACAGCACGCACAACCCTTTGGGTCAGCTGGAAGCTCTGGTTTGCCTTCAGATACTTCACACAGTGAAGTGGGCTTGCAGCCCTGGGCAGCGGGATTTGTTTCTTAAAAGTTCTGCCCAGTAGTTTGCAGGATGTCTTCTTGGAGACAGGCCAGTGTCAAGCAGGTCCCTGACCCGTGACCCTCGAAGGCCCCATCTCTGAAGAGCAGCACCAAGCTCAAGACCCTGCACCTCCCTGTCATCACCCACCCATTGCCAGCCTCAGCCGGCACTGACACTGGGGCTGTGTGATGGTGTGCTTGGTAACCAAAGGTGGGTGCAATCCAGGGTTCAGCATGCTCACCCCACGAGGTGATTAGAGAGAGGCGAAGGGGCGGGGAGGGTGATACCCAGATGATGAGTGGGACCTGTCTCAGGGCTTCCTGGACGCAGCACCCAAAGCCCTGCGGCCAGCTGCAGGCTGCTTTGTCTTCAGATAATTAATAGCACCTTCCTGCCTGTCGCTGCCTTCACCCGGGCTGCAGACCTGCCCCGAGGGACCAGCTCTCTGTGGCTCCCCTCTTCCCCACCCCATCTATGTCCATTCGGAGTCTTCAGCCAGAGGGGACTTAGTCACAGTGTTCTGGTTTCCCAGGCTGCAGAACAAAGTGTCCCAAACGGCGGGTTGAAACAGCACGAAGGGGTCCTACAGCCATTGGAGGCCAGAAGCTGACAATCAAGAGATCCGCAGCGCCCTGTCCCCGAGAGGCCCTGGCTCCCGCTTGCCTTCCTGGTGGCTGGTGACTCCCAGGGCTCTATCTTCCATCTGCTTGTGGCTCCCTCCTCTTGGTCTTCCCCTCTGTCTCTTGAAGTAACAGCTGACGTCCCTAAAACCAGGATGATCCCTTCTTGTGACCTTGACTTCATTCCCTCTGCAAAGAGCCTGCTTCCAAGTAAGTTCCCATTCAAGGTCCTGGCGGGTGGACCTGACACAGATTTAAGGTAACACGGTGAAGCCCCTTACAAAGATGGGGCCCACAAAAATCAAACCCATAAGTTTACCCTTGGATTTTTTCCCCTTAGCCTCCAGGAATCCCATGGTCTCAGACACGCAGATCCTTCACCTCCTCGCCCCCTCACCCACGACCCAGCCTCAGTGACCCCCATCTACCTCTCCAAACAGGGCACCCAGAGCCTTGACATAGGGGCCCCTCTTGCCGTCCTCCAGGAGAGCGGCCTCCCTGTTCCACTCCTTTCCCCAGCATGGCAGGCAGAGCTGGGTAAGGGCAGGAGCTCAGTAAAGACTTTTGACTCCGTGACAGTATGCCAGGGTCACCACAGCTTTGGAAAGTCCAGAGACCAAGAGAGAGAGGGCAGGTGCCTGGAACTGGGGAACAGGTCTGCTTAGTCCCAGGGCAGCACCCAAAACCCTGAAACCCTGGTGCAGGGGCTCCCAGGGAGGGCACCACCCATGTCATCCTCCTGCACAGAGGACCTGACGCTGGAGTGGGGACCCCTGGAGTGGCTGGGTGTCCAGTCAGACCGCCTCCTGCCCCACATCATGGACCCTGTTCTCCTGTGCCCCACTGGGATGCAGGTGGTACCCAGCGCACTGTCAGGAGACCCCACTGGTCACATCGTGTGTGAACCTGGTCACCTCCCAAAGGTCCTGAGGGACCAGCACCCTGGGCTTATAAATGGGGAAACTGAGACACAGAGAAAACAAAGCCTTCCCTGAGGTCACAGGGCTGGTCTGGGTGACGCATGGCAGCCTGGCCGCTATTCTTTGGAGCTTGCTCTGTGGGCCAGAGTTAGGCAAGATTGCCGATCTGAGGCTGGCACAGGCCCCCGGGCGCAGGCTGCTGCTTCCGCCCCACATGTGATGGCACCCCCGCCGTACCCTGCCCTTGGAATCACTCACACAGTCTCTGATCCACACCCTGGTGCGGGGCGGGCGTGGCGTGTGACCCAGAAGGGCAACGCCCAGTGGCTGGGGCTGCTGAACCCGTTCTTCAGAGCCCTGCAGAAGGGCAGCGCGAGGGTCCCCCGGAGCCAGGCCAGGCCGGGCCCTGCCAGCTGGGACAAGGACTAGATTATGCTCTCACTGTCAAGAGAAGTCCCTGAAGGTTTTTGAGAAAGAACAAAGATGATCCTACGTGTGCTTATAAAGGTCTTTCCAGTTCAGAATTGTCAGATCTGGCAAATAAAAATCGAGGGTCATCAGTTAAATTAGATTTTAAAAAACACTTTCTAGCATAAACATACACCACCTACTGCTCAGGACTTACAAGGGCTAATCAAAAAATATGGTGTGTATTTACATTTTAAAAATTCATCCCAGGAAGAAAAAACACACTGACACAAATGCCCCTCAAGCCCTCCCCCATCGCTCCTGCAGCTCTGGAGTATCTTCCAGGAGTGCCTTTAACTGTGATGCTATCCCAATGTGTGGGGTGATTTCTGCTGAATAAAACTATCACCGTATGTCTCCTCCATCGTATTCGGCAGGTGAGACGTCGTGCGACTTCTGGCTCTTCCCCAAAGCCAGAAGGGCCCGGGAGGGAGATGCTCCAAATGGATTCAGGACACCGAGGCGGCCATGACAGCACAGCTCAAGACGCTCACGAAAGAGGACAAGGACTTGGAAGGGGCTGAGGCTCCCCTCTCCTTGCAGGCCCACAGCAAGCTGCAGGGTCACAGCCCTGCTGAAGACCTGAGACTCCCAGGTCAGACACAAGGGCTGTCATTATCCACTGCACACAAGGCTGCCGAGCCTCCTGCTGTCCTTGGTTCTCCCCTGACCCTGCCTGTCCCACAGGGACAACAGGGACCAGCCAGAGGGAATGATGTGCACAGCAGGGTCGTGACACAGCTGAGGAGCCCCACGCTGGAGAAACCCCAATTTTTGGTAACGGCCTGCAAGCCGACCTGCCCCACTTTGCCCTGGGGGAGATGTCACCCTACCAATCACACCTGTGCTCCACACACAGATTCTCTGGTCCCAAGGCTGTTGGCAATGTGTGCACCCCTGAAAAGATCGTCCAGAGGAAAAAGTGGGTTCCCAAAACATGCAGCATCACCCAAAGAGCGGTCCCCTGATGTGCTCCTTGCAGAGATGGTGGCGCGGGCGGCCCTGTGACACTGGCAGCTTCTCTGAAGCACTTCAGAGCAGTCACTGCTGACTCCAGACTGTGCTCTGCCGGCTTTCAGGAGCTCCCACCTCCCCTGGGTATCTGGCTAGCGTGCTCCAGGGAGGCCAGGCGACTCTGGCAGTGATGCTCTAGAACACTGGCTCTCAAGGCAGGGTCCCCGGACCTTCAGCCTTGGGATCTCTTGGAAACTGCAGGCGTGGCCCACTTGGCTGTGTCATCTCCAAGGGCTATGGGAGCCCGGGAAGCTGGTGCTCACCGGCCTTCAAGAGCCTTCCAGGGCCTCTGAGAAGGAGGCAGAGGAAAGCCCTGGTGCTTCCCAGCTGACACCCCACTGAGCAGCTCTGCACAGCTCAGGCTGGAATTCAGCAGGTCTCCCGGTGATAGACCAGGACAAGGGGAAGGGAAGAGGGGGAGGAGGAGGGAGGGAAGGAGACAGAGAAAGGGGAGAGGGAAGGAGCTGATGCGCTCCTGTCCCACTAGCTGGGCCACTTCTCGCCTGACCTTCACAGCACGTGTCAGAGCCACACGGCTCTGCTTCCTGTTGGCCTGAGCTCATGACCCTGGGACTCAGATCCTCCTGCCCAGGACTCAGGTCCGCTCACCCAGGGACTCAGGTCCTCCCGCCCAGGGACTCAGGTCCGCTCACCCAGGGACGCAGGTCCAAGCAGCTGTCCTGGCAGTACCCCACCACGACCACCACGAGGGTCTGCTCTGTCTCCTCTAAAGCCTCACCCAGTCTGTAGCTGTCTCTGACAAAGGGCTCCCCAGTATTCCAGAGTGAGGTTTCGCTCTGGCACCCCAGGCCAGCCTCCAGGGCAAGTCAGGCACCAGGACGTAGGGACAGACATCCATCCTGTCCTTTCCCAGAGTCTCGTGACTCTGTCTCTGTCGTCAGTTTCTGTGTTCATGTCCAGGGGCACTTTGACCCCTCTTGCACTCAGACTCCTGGAGGCCTCTGTCACGAGTGTGGGGAGCCTGTTCTCAGTCCCCTCTGCCGCCCCTGCTCTGTCCAAGCCGAAGTGTTCCCCACACAGAATAAACCAGCAGAGCCAGAGTTCTTGACAGCAGTAACCAGAGCTGCACCTACAGGTCTCCCTGGTAATCTGAAGGGTACACACTGCTCAGTCAATACACCCGAATGCCTGCTTCCTGCCAGGTACTGGGCGAGGCCCAGGGACGCACAGGTATTGAAGGAGAAGAAAGAGCTCCTGGTTTAAGAAAAATGTAAGAGGCCATTACGATCAAAGGTGACACAGAAGATAAAGGTGACGGCAGCTAGCAAAGGGCGAATCCCAGGCTGGGCTGTGCTCCAGAGCAGTGACATGGGACCCCTGCTCCTCCTCACACACCCCTGCAGAGCCAGTACTGCTGGTGATTCTGCTTAGCAGCCTGGAGAGGAGGAGGCTCCAGGGAGAACAGCCCTGAGGAGGTGTCGGGGAGCTGAGCCTCAAGGAATGAACCTTTCTGCAAAGCTCCGTCCGTCCCTGTCAGTCTGTCTTCTAGGCTGTGCTCGGGAAAGATAGCATGGGCTGTTCAGTGTGGTGAGCTTCTTTAGTCAGGACTTGAACAAGGGAAGGAGACTAAGTTGATGAATAAAGAAAAATCTGGAAAGTTTGCTGGCCAATGCAACTTCAAAGTTGGGCAGCTGGGCAGCCTTTGGGCACAGCCGTATCTAGGGGCTTCTTGGACAACAGTGGGATTTACTCTCCATGCAGCTCCTCTTGGGTCTCTTTTTTCTAGTCTTTATCAGGCAGGGTGAGTTCCAAAGAGTAGAAACAGGGTGGGTTTCTGTTACCTTCATAGCTGGCAAGCTCACTGAGTAGAGATCGCAATCTTTTTTTTCTACAGAACCCATTTCATTCTCCCAAAGGCTTCTGATTGGTTCTATTTAGGTCACATGACCATACCTTGGTCAATATCACAGGGCATGGACTGCTCTGATTGGCTAATTTTGGTCACGTTCCCAACCTGGCTAAGGATTCAGAGCTATGTGCTGACAAACACTTCCAGGTGGGTGAAGGGCACGCCAAAGGAAAGGGGGCCCCAAGCCCAGTGCCTGATGAACAGTTTTCCAGGGGGCCAGGGGCTCCCTCCTTCTCTGTCACAGGCACCCATCCCACCCTGCATCTGGAAATGTTTCTCTGCCCTCCCACCCCTGGTGGCCCTGGTTGCCTTCTAGGCTGTCTTCTCCTGTCCGTTCCAGCCTGAGCAGGCCTGAGGTGTCCAGCATGGGCACGGCCAGGAGGACAGAGGTGGAGCAAAGACATGAACAGGCCTTCCACTGGTACGCAATTAAAAACCCAGACACAGACTTCCAATGAGTCCCAGAAAATCACTGGATTTGTTGGAAAAAGAAAAAGACAGGCAGGTGGGACTCTTGGAAACGAGAGGGAATTAATTGACTGTGGAACTGAGCACCATGAAATTAAAGATAATTTAATAGGAAGCCCAGGTACTATTGTCTGGCTCTCTGCTAAGCGCAGGAGGAATACCTGATAGGCAGGATGCCTGCCGAACAGAGGCCACGCTGGGCGTGCAGCAGCGCGGACCCCTGGGGTTGGCTAGTTGTCTGGGAACCCAGTGATGGGTCAGGAGACCTGATCTAGGATGGCTCCTGTCGCCATGGAGACAGACATGCCGTCTTCCCAGGGTCCTGCTACAGTGGGTGAGAAGGTCACAAGGGGGCTGGGTCTAGGACGAGAGCAAACAAATTAGCATCTGGGGCTCCTGGTGCCTAAAGAAACCCAGGGGCAGCTTGTCCCTTCTGAACTGCAGCCCCCTCAGTTTCTGAGTGAAGCCCGTGTCAGCCGGCACTGGGACACCCCTTTGCTGGCGGACAAGGTGAGTTTATGCTGCACAGAAGCAGTATTTAGAAATGTTTAATAGTAATGTGTTTCCCAGGCCAATCACCTTCCATGCAAATCACCTTCGATTTTTGATGCACAGCTACAATACAGAATTTTCCTATGAAATATGTTTGCTTTGAGTTCACTTAAAGAAGAATTCTTAAGGAAGTTATGGCACCAGTGGACCACAGTCTGGAGGGCGGCCCCCATGTGGCTGGTGTTTGGGAAACACTCCTGGCACTGGAGACTAGAGACAGAACATCAGTGTCAGAACTGCTGGTGCAAGGCACTGGGCTCGAGGTGTCTGGCATTTGCACACCAACCTGAATGGCAGTGTGCAAAGGGCTTTGGGGAGGGGTCTGCCCTGGAAACCCAGCCCGAGCTGCCACCATGTCTTCTCTCTGCCTGGGACAGATAGCGCTGCCATCCTGGATGCCATGCCGGTTTGAATCCTGATCCTCCGAAACTTAATATTTCGTGACAGCCACCGTATGCCGTCAGCCCTGCTCCTTCCACACGGCTGTCAGTGTCAACAGCCCTGTCTTCTGGACGTCTGCTAACGAGTGGCCTCTGTGGAAGGCAGATTCCTTTCCCTGGGAGAAACAGCAGTGGTGCAAGCCTCCGGGCTGGCCCCGGCCTGCAGGCCTGGTGGCTTCCTGAGGACCCTGTCCTCCTCCGCAGGACGCGGCTGGATGCTCCCGTGTGTGCCGGCGAGGAAGGGTGGTCGTCGCCGCCCGTCTTCGCAGGGGCTGGAGTGGCCGGATGGACAGGAAAGCCTGTCTCTCCCACCCCGGCCGTGCTGGCTGTCGCCCAAGCAGCCAGCCCCGTGTGGCGGGAGCCCATCCAGCTCCCAGCGCTGTCTAGACAGCCAGCGTGCCAGCGCTGCCAGGCCCGATCGCGGCTGTGTGTGTGAGTGTGTGTGTGTAATTACCCTGGAAAGTCTGCCACTGTGGAAATGTAGGTCATTCCGGGGCGGCCGGCGGCACTCACAGCGCATCGAGGTCACGGCGGCCTGGGAGCCAGCTTAACCGGGGTGGGCACGTGAGGGGCAGACAGGCTGGGGTCTCTCTGTGCCTCTTTCTTTGAGGACATTTCAGGTTTTCTCACATCTTCAGCCTAAGGCATGTGGCCTTCCTATCACAAAAGCAAGAACAAGTGTGGCATTGTACGTGTTAAATAAGATCTTTCATGCGGCAAACTTTCACTGGGCCCGAGCGTCCTACGAAGCAATTTCCCCTGCATGGTCAATGTCATCCCATCCCCACAGCAGCCCGAAGAGGAAAATCCTGTTATCAACACAAGAACCCAATATGTAATCTCTAGTTATGTTTTACGGACAGGGAAACTGAGGCTCAGAAAGCCCACCCCAAAAATCATTTTGCTAATGACATGCTAGTCTCTCCTGTTCTTGTCATGGTGGTGTATAATATTCTCATTAATTCTCCAGCAACTTGATAATAGTTGTTCCCATTTTATAGGCCAGGAAACTGAGGTGCAAGAGAGACCAATATAAAGTTAAGTGTGATTCAAACCCAGTCTTAGTCCAGGCGGAGCTCTCAAACCCGGCACCCCCTGCTGTAGTGTTCAGAATTCCCTGAGGAGGCTGGAGTCCCTTGTCAGCTTAGACGAATCATTCCGATTTAAAAAGGTGGAACAAGGAGCATTTGGCTACAAAGAGTTAAGCTTGTGTCCTGGTAAACAAAGGCGGCTCCAGGGTGCTGTGAGCCCAGGTCGGTGACATCTTTTATCAACACACACCCTTCCCTCACCCTTCTCGCCCCAGGTTGAAAAAAATAATCTAACCTGGCCGCAGCTGTTTCCATCTGTGGAACAATAGGCCGCTGTGTGGGGGCTTGTTTGTACACCTGACAATTGTTCAAACATTTTACAAGCTGGAGGGCTGTGTGCAGGGGATCTGAGAAAGTAAAACAAACAGGAGGAAATGACGCGTGAACTCACCATCTCCTGGGGACCTGGGGCAGCCTGCACCCCAACAGTTTGCTATAAAATGTTAAAAAAAAAAATGCATGAGATCGGAGGAATCCTTGCACACCCGGCTAGTCACCGCCTAGGTTTCCTGCTGGATGCACGCTGGGCTGGCTTGGGGGGCCTGTCAGATAGAGAGGGATCCCAGGCACCAAGGGGGTTTGGCTCTGACCCTCAAAGGCTATTTTTATGCAGATTATTGTGTTCTAGAAGAAGTGGGTCTAGAAGCACCCTCTGCCACCAGTGGTTCTCTTTCCGCCTCTGGCTGCTCATCCGGGTCCTCAGGGCTGCTTGTTGGTCCTTCCTGAGCGTTTTCCATATGACACTCACTAAGTCCCTAGCTACCCCGAGCCCTGGTACTGTTATCTTCCCCATTCTCCACAGGGAGAAGTCGAGGTTCAGTGGGGTTAAGTGACATTCACAGGGCCACCTGCTTGGAAGTGGCAGTTGAATGTCAGGCTTTGGGGACGTAGGTTCCAGACACAGCGCCACAGTGCCAGGGCTGAGCCTGCAGACCAGAGGTTTATTAAACCAGCCGGAAGAGGCCTTCAGACCTCCGTTATGGAAGGCTCCAACTGTGTGGGGAAACTGAGGCTTGTAAATAAACCAGGTGGGCAAGGAATGAAGAGACCACCCCTCCTCCTCTCCCCCAGGACCCTCCCGCCTGTAGTCACCCTTGCCACGGAGGGACAGGATGCTGCCTGCTCCAGAGATCTCCTCCCTCCCAAGGAGCCCTTTGAGTTTCCAGATCACAAAGCACACATCCTGCTTGAGGCTCCCCCAAGACCAGCTGGCTGAAGGAGGGTCCGGCTGACTTTTGTCTTACGGGAAGGTGGGGAGGGGCCGTGAAAAGAAGCCACTTCCTGAGTCCTACAAACTTAGAGATTCAGCTCCTGTCTGGGGCTGGCTGTATGAAAGTGGCCAAGTGAGCCCTTCTCCGGTTCTTTCTGTGTATGAGGGTCGGAAATGGTCCCTGGAGACATCGGGGGCTGGGGATGAAGACAGGGAGGATGCAGACGCCGTCACTCACGGAGCTGGTGCTTAATGAAGCGTCACTTGCAGGCAATGCTAGAGTTTTGCACATGAGGGGTTGTACTGGGGCTCCTGTAACCTCGGCCCTGGAGCTAAAGCCAGCTCTTCTGGGCAGGTGGCAGACCCTCCCCTGGGTGCCTGCCTATCTGTGGCCTCGCTCAGGGAGGACTGTGATTCCCTTGAGCAAGCCCATCAGAGATGAACCGTGAATCATACTTGATTCTAGACCAGTTTCTTCTGTTCCTGTTTCTGTGTCAGCACTTAAAAATGCTAAAAGTCTGTAGAGGAGATTTTTTTCTTCTTGTTTGTTTTTACCTATTTACTTCTGGGACTAAGAATACTCAGCAAAGGGATCGATGTGATTCAAGGCTCCTAACAAAACTCACGCCAAGTCAAACTCACTCAGTCCTTATCCAGTCCTGCCCAGCTCAGGCCAGTGTGAACCAACGCAACTCAACCAATTTTCACCTAGTTCAACTCAACCCTACACAGTACAACCCACAACTGATTTGACTCAGCCTAATCCAACCCAAGCCAACCAACTCAAACCATCTCCCTAAGACCCAATCCAACTCAACCCAGCCCAACCGAATGTGACCCAACCCAACTCCGCTCAGTGGCAGTCAGCGGAGAGCACACGGGACTTGGAGTTAGGTAGATCTGAGATAAAACCTCAGCTCCTCCACAAAGCCGCAACGTGACCTTGGTGAAGTCACGTCAGTGTTAGGCTAGTTCCTCACCTTAAAATGGAGCAGGAAATCTTGTATTTGCCAGTGTATAAAACTCTTTTTTTTAGTTATATAGTGCATTCACATGTGACACCGTCAAGTCTACCCAGGGACTCTGCCTGGAATATTTCGTTAACTGCCCCATCCTTCCTCTGCCCTGAATGGCAGCAGAGAAGACCTCACGGAGGACAGGAGGGACACCTCACCGCGGTTCTCTCAGCTGCATGGGCTGCTCCCACGAAGACTTGGCCAAGTCTGCTGTAGTAGATGATGCCGGTCAGAAACAGAAACAGAGCAGTAACATCAGTGCCTTGTTATGAACCAGCTACTCTATGACCACAGCTATGGCCCTCTTGGAGTGTTTTGGTCTTGAGGGTGGAGGTAACACAAGATGCTCACATCAGATGTGTAGAAATTGCCTGTCAGGCTACCGTCAGCCCATCAAGACCTGAATCTCTGCAGTGCTAGAGCGCCAAACCTAGGGGAGCCCTCCACCACTACCATGGAGGTTTTGTGTGTGCTGTGGTACTCCGAGTGGCTGAGCCTGTGTGTCAGTCAGCTCTCCATCACTATCACAAATACCTGAGATGGCTAATTTATGCAGAGCAAAGGTTTATTTTAGCCCATGGTCTTGGAGCTTTCTGTTCAGGACCAGCCAGACCTATTGCTTTGTGATCTCTTCTGGTGGAGGGTTCCACGGCCACAGACATAGCAAAACTGCACATCCCAGTGGTTGGACATACCACTGGGCCAGCAGACCGTCGGCGTGAGCTATCCCAGGCTGTGGGGACTTTACAGCATTGTGACTGCCAGGTGGACGGAAGGACGCCACATGCGCCAGGCAACAGTGACCAAGAGAAGGGCAACACACACCCAACCTTGGCACGTAGAGGACGGGTATCCCCCTCCGTCACTTGCTAACCAAGTGAACTTGAGTGGATCGTATCTCTTCTTGTTTTTTTTTTATGTTTCTTTTATTTCGGTAATCAAAACTGAACCTGGGCCTTCACACTGAGCTACATCCTCAACCTTTAAAAAAAATTTTTTTTTTTGAGATGGGGTCTCACTAGGTTGCCCAGGCTGAGCTCAAACCTGCAAATCTCTTACTTCAGCGTCCCAGGGTGCTGGGATCACAAACCACATTACTTCTTAATGTCTGCTCAGATCTGGCTCCTGGGGCGCAAAGGTCAGCAGAAGCTCCGAAGGGCCTGCGGAGGACAGGCTGGGGCTCCTTACCCTCCCTGCTGGGGCTGTCTGGTCCCATCAGCCTGGAGCGAATCCAGCTTCCTCCCAGCTCAGAGCAGATGAGCCTCAGAGCTCAGCGGAGGGCATTCCTGGGCACGATGTCTATGAAACTGGAAAGGCATCGATGAATCACCCGACCCCTCAAGCCCAGAAAATGCTCATCCAGGAAGTCTGGCCAGCAGGGAAGGGAGGTCCCAGAAAGAGAGGGCCACGGCTGCTTCCCGACTGTGTGTGCACTTAAAGAAGCATAGACTAATTAATGATGGCAGTCTCATTAACCGCTGTCTGACCTCTAACGCGCAGGCACTCTGGGTGGGCAGCGTGGGCCAGGGTCATTCACAATGATGTGCATGGATTCATTAGAGAGACAATCATTTTCCTCCAGACCCACTTTTAAACTGAAAACGCCCTCGCCCTCCGATCTGCATTGTTCCCAGTACACAGCCCGGGAGGGAAGGCTGTGGGCCTTGGAGGAGCTGCTCTGGGGTGGGCAAATGGGTATGCGCATTGGAAGGTTTCACGCTGGGGGAGACCGCGGACAGGTGCGCCATGGGGCAGGCCTCCGTTCCCCTGACCGTTCTAACAATGCAGCCTTGTTGAGCGCTCCCCATGCCTGGGACCCTGTGAAATGTGTCCCTGTGCTGCATCAGGGGGTTCTCCACAGTTCCAGGAGGCTGGTTCCGGAAGGTCCCCATCGGCCGTAGGCCAGCTGAGGCTCTGAGACCTGCCCAAGGTTGGGCACAGATGGTCCAACCTGCCCACCTGAACTTCACAATGAACTCTGCTGTCTCCAGAGTAATAATCTGGAGGAGTAGTAGTATTTGTCTAGGGACCAGATACTGAGTGACCAACATTGAGAGGTGCCGGAGAGCCTCATCTGCAGATGAAAACGCTGATGTGCACAGAAAGTGTGATCTCCATCCTGAGACCGTAAGACCGGATGGTCTTCAGTAATTGCACCCTTCACCGCTGAAGTGAGGAGTGGTCAGTGGCCATCCAGGAAGCAAGTGGCATTAGGGTCCCCAGGAAGGACTCCTGGCTTGCCAGTGGGGCAGACCTCAGCCACAGTTACATGCCAGTCTTGCAGCGGACCTCACCACTTGAGCCTCACTGTCCTGAGCTGCAGAATGGGCTGAAGTATTGTCCAATAGAGAAATGCCCACAGGTGGGAAGGTGCCCTGCCCCATTTCGGACCATTTCAGTGGTTGCTGAAAGGTGGTTTTTCTTTTCTCTTTGGCCCACAAAGTCAGATTTTTATAAATTAGAGATTTGAGTTTGAGAGCTCAGAATAGAAATTCCATCCACTTCTCGGACCACTCGGCTCAGATGTTACCTGACACGGAGTCTTCCCTTCTGTCTGCTGGCCTCCAGCCTCTGCCCGCCCGCTCCTGGCCTGGGAGAGTTGCCAGAGGGAACACAAGATGCTCAATTAAAGCTGAATTTCAGATTAGAAAAAAAATATAACTTACCAGTATCAGTGCGGCCCTACGAAATGTTTGGAGCATATTGGTACCAAGAAACATAGTCGCTGTTTATCCAAAATGTAGTTTTAATGGGGCATCCTGCATTTTCCTTGCAATTTGGGCTGCTGTACCACCTGGCAGAGGAAAGGGCCAGACCTCAGTGTGGCCACTGGGACCTGAGACCTGGTCCTTTGACGGCCATGGTCACGATTCATTTATTGGGCAGCTGTTTTGAGCCAGGTACCGTGCTGCCTCCTGAATCCACTTTCTCGCCT